TCTCCCTGAGCTGTAGCTTCAGTGCTGTCCTCTGAAGTAAATTCTTCTGGAGGGAGGGGCGGCTGTCCATGTAGTTGGAGCTGGGACCAGCCCCTACAGTCTGGGTTCTAGCTGCTGCTTCCCGCCCCAATGGCATCTCTCCATGACTCACTTCAGCCGTATATTGTTTTCTTTTTCTAGAAAAGGCTTACTCTGCCGTTGGGTTTTGATACTTGCCATTCCCTCTGCCTGGGCTGCCTTGTCCCCTCATCCAGACCCAGCTTAAAGGACATAGGGGTGCCCCTCCCTCATCACCGTCATCTGGAATAACCTCCCTTCAGAAGCATTCATTTAGCCCTGTTTCCCTGACCACTTAAAACTTAACACTCCCAAACCCAAACCAGCTTATTCCAACCCATAATGACGCTACAAGGGGGTCTTTATGGCAGCAGCCCACCTCATCTCTCTTGGTAACGCTTCCTAGGTTTGAACAGCCCACCCTGCAGTGACTCACCCATTGTTTATCCCACAGCATCACCAGGGCTCCCTTTTAACCTCAACACTTACCAGTCGTTGAAATCATTCACATTACTAGTTTGCTGCTTAAGTATCCGTCTTTCTCCGCCAGCACTTCAGTGCGTAGCACAAGAGTGAGACTCCTTCCCTGCCTTGTTCATGGCAGCATGGCTACAGTTTAGAATAGGCAAGCTCTGCCACTGGTTCATTCTTTTGTTATTTATTGAGTGTTAGTTCTGTGCCCGGAGCCGTTCCAAGCTCTGATTGAAAAAGCAGAGCCCCCAGGGCCCTGCTCTCCTGGGATCTACATGGAGAGGATGCTGGCAGGGGACAGAGATGGAAGGAGACCAGTGGAGAGGCCACTGTGATGATAGGAGCCAGCGGCGACTGTGAATGACTCCGTCAGCCCAGGGGGTGAGAAGTAGTCAGATCCGAGCTGCGTTCATCAGCAGCAGGGTAAGACAAGAGATGCCAACCTCTCGTGCCATCCCATCGATTCTGTCTCATAGCGACCCTCGAAGGACAAGGCAGGACTGCCCTGTGGGTTTCTGAGCCAGTAACCCTTTGTGGGAGTAGAAAGCGTCTAGCTTTCTCCCGAGCAGTGGCTGGCGGTTTCAGACTGCTGACCTTGCAGTTCTCAGCCCAGTTCGTAACCACTCACCACCAGTGCTCCATGCTCAGAAGTATAGGAAGGGAAAAAAAAATGAGGACAAGTCCAGTTTGGGGTCTGAGTGCCTAGGATGATGGAGTTGCCATCACCCGAGATGGGGAAGACTTTGGGAGAGCAGGTTGAGTTGACACAAGGAACCTTGCTTCAAACCAGAGGGTCCATAAAGATTGACAGCCTTGGCAACCATATAGGGCAACTCGACTGTCCGTTAGGGTCACCATGAGTTAGAATTGAGTTGACAGCAGGAGGTGTATTGATTTAGGTTTGGGACGTATTACAATGAAGCCTTCGTTAGACATTAAACAGAGCCCTCCATGTCAGGCCCTGGAGGTTGTGCCCCCAGGCCTGCTTCTCAATCCAGTATGTGGGGAAGACGTGGCAGGGATGGAAAGAAATGGAGGTGGGGAGTGCGTGGTCCTGAGGGCTGCAGCGGTTAAGCCAGAGAAAGGGCCAAGTGTAAGCGGTTTTCTGAGCAGCAGCGGCAGGGAGCAAGGGCTGCCTCTTAAGGAGGACTCCCTGTTGGGGTCAGCAGCCCGGTGACCTTAGCGAGTGGGCAGGGAGGAATGGAGAGAGAGGAAAAGGAGCAGATGGGAGTACAGCAAGCCCAATATTAGAAAAGCAGGCAGAGAAGCAGTGTGGGAGTGGGAATAGGCTGAAGAGTTTGGGTGACTGGTTGTTTTTTATGATGGAAGAGGATAACAGTATATTTGGTAATAATCCAATAGAGTATTGGATGTTGCAAGAGAGAGAGGAGATGGGATCCGCGGCACAAGTTAGCAAATTGCCCTTGAAGGGAGCCTAGACATTCTTCCATAGCAAAAGAAGGCCCCAAGTGGTTGGTCTTGGGGACCTGTGGAATCTCTCTTCTATGTAGTAGGTTTTGAGGGTGGGAAGTGAGAGGCTTCTCCTTTGTTGTTCTTTAGTAGAGCTTTGTTTATCCTGGGTCTCCTTTTCCATATAAAGTTAGTGATCCGTTTTTCCATCTCGTTAAAGAATGATGCTGGAATCTGGATCGGGACTATCATCTTTATAGAATACTGTAGGTAGTATTTGACATTTTCACAATGTGAAATCCTATCCGTGAACATGGAATATTCTTCCATGTGTGTTGGTCTCTTAGTTACTTGTCCGGGTGTTCTGTAGTTTTCTTTGTGGGAGTGCTTTGTTTCTCTGGTTAGGTCTATTAGTGGATATTCCATCTTCTGGGTGGCTACTGTAAATGGCGTTTTGTTTCTTGATTCTCTTCTGCTCTCTGCATTCTCAGTGACCTGGAAGCATCCTCAGTAAAAAGGAGCGGGTGTTCTATAAGGCGCGATCAAGCAATATGAATGAAACGCTGGTCTTTTTTCTTCTAGAACCAGCACTAGGCTGGCTGGGAGTGGATCGGTGGGTTTCCGAGACTGTAAAGCTTTACCGGAGCAGGCAGCCTCATCTTTCTCCCACCAGCCAGCTGGTGGGTCTGGTGCACTGACAATATCTAACCCACAACACCACTTAAGAACAGGCTGAATAACAGCCTCAGCTCCTGGACACTGAGGCTCTGTCTAGCCCTGCACTCCTAGCCATTCAGAGCCACTCACTCATTCAGTGGCCTCCTGGTGTAGATGCAGCAGCAGGTGGGACAGACCTACACCTTTGTTCATGTCCCCTTCACAAGCCCCTCTAAGATAACATGCAGTCTCGTGTCTGTTTTATAGATGAGAAAGTTGAGGCACAGACAGCTTAAGGTACTTGCCCAGGGTCACAGAATAAGGGCAAGGGGGTGGGGGCACGGGGTAGGCTAGAACTTTGCAGCTTCTCCTTCCCTAGTGCGCTGTGATTGTCCGCCTCCCTGAGGACTAGCCGCTGGTCCCTCAGGCTCAGGGACCATCAGGGCCACTGTCAGGCCTCCCCCCTTCCCAGCCTCCTTCCAGAGCTTCAAGGCTGGGGCTACTGTGAGAATCACTCCCACAGATCGGTGACTCCTTCCCACAGGTCCACCTTCCAGGAGTCATGGGCCGCAGAAAGTCAAAACGGAAGCCGCCTCCCAAGAAGAAGATGACAGGCACCCTAGAGACCCAGTTCACCTGCCCCTTCTGCAACCACGAGAAGTCCTGTGACGTGAAAATGTGAGTGGTCAACGGCACAGAGCACCTGGGCCTCCCGTTGGTCAGGAAGTAGCCTTCCCCGGGCTCCAGGCTGTTTGCCATCTGGGGACCGAGTGACCCTGTGGCCCCAGTGGGAGTGGGTGGGAAGGGCTAGGGGTGGTCATCAGACACAGGGCTCTTTGCTCACCCAGTTTTCACCTCCTCCCCTTGCAGGGACCGTGCCCGCAACACCGGAGTCATCTCCTGTACTGTGTGCCTCGAGGAATTCCAGACTCCTATCACCTGTATCCTTGGAAACCAGTCCTCAGGGCGCAGAGTGGGGAGGGGGCGCAAGGGGGGTGCCCACACAGGGCAGCCCGGTCCAGGGCACACTGGATTCCCATGCCAAGTCCGCCCATGGGCATCCTCCTCCCCTATGACCCCTGAGGGGTGGGGGTTGGGCTAACAGAGTGGGTGGGCAGCTAGTCCAATGCCATCAGATGCCCTTGACCTCAGTCACTCAGATCTCTCAGAGCCGGTGGATGTTTATAGCGACTGGATAGATGCCTGTGAGGCAGCCAACCAATAACAGCACAGAGGACCCGCCCCTCATGCCCACCCACTGGGTGCCAAACCAGAGACATTCCAGGGGTCCAGGGTGTGGGTCCAGAGTCATCCCACCAGCCCCCTATGGATGCGGGCATGGGTGTGGGTGTCCATGAGTGTGGGAGTGAGTGAGTGAGTGAGTGTGTGTGTGTGTGTGTGTGTGTCAGTCAGGATGGGGTTGTGTGGTTGCTGAGGTTAAGGGACTTAACTGGCCACACTGGCCTCAAACACCTTTGTCTGGCTCCCTACTCCCCAACCCTGGGCCTCCCTGCCTGTGGGAGCTGGGGGCCCTTTTGGGCAGGCTCCTTGCTGACATCCCCAGGGAGGCACAGCAAGCCCAGCAGAAGCTACAGCAGGGCCCACCACAGCCTCCTTGCCCAGCTCCCCAGCCCGCTTTAACTGGACTTCCCACCCGCTTGCAATGCCTGTGGCCCACCGGGGAGGGAGGGGCAGGACGGCAGGGAACAGCTAGAAGTGATCAGCCCTGAAATAAAGCAGTCAGTGCCAGACTCCCCGCTGTCCGTCATTTCCTGGGTTTGGGGCTCATTTCCTCCGATCCAAGGCCTCCTTTCCACAGTGGGGATGGGGCTCCTGGTTTCAGAGGTGGTTTTAGAAGTGGGGCTTAGGGGTCACCCCTTCCAACCATCCGTTTTAGTCACCCAGCAAGCATTCAGGGTGAAATGGAGTCAGTGCTGGGGATTTGGGGCCCGATGGACCAGGCAGACATTTGGTCAGGGAAGGTTTCCTGGAGGGACAGCCGAATGGTGCTCCATGCCTGACTGCCCTTGGAGCTGGCCTGTCCCAGCAGCAGCCCTGTGGTTAGCTGGCCAGAGAGGAGAGATGACTAACCCCAGGTCCCACAGCCAGAAAGCTCCACAGCTGGGACTTGAACCCAGGAAGCCTGTCTCCAGGACCTTACGACTTCCTGATTGGGGGAGAAAAGGGTGGGTTATGGGAACAGCCGGGTAGACCACCCAGGAAGTAAAGTCACAGATTAGGGGACTGGGCGGAGGGAGACTGAAGAAGGCAAACACCCATAGTGTGGTGTCATTGAACCATCACAGGACATTCAGGTGGTCTCACAGGTGATAGATCTTCACACCTGGGGTGGCTCTAGGCCGGCCCCCTGCCGGCCTTGGGCGCCTCCCCAATGGGTAGCCCTGCATTCTTGGTGATACAGTGGGAAGGACGGCAGAACTCCCTTCTGGGGCCACACTCAGGAAGCAAATACGTCTGGGCACGGGCCTGGCACCCTAGGGGTGAGAAGTGCGGACAGCCAGGTGAGATGCCATCTACCCCAGAAGTCCTGGCCACCAGGCTGGCTAGTCTAGCTTGTGCCTTCCCAGGCTCAACAGGGCCCTCCCGCCCTCGTGCTCCCACTTCTGGAAAGCCCTGGTGAGGGCCATGGGAGGGGGGCGGGGGAGGCAGGGACCTGACAAGAGCCTGGAGGCAGAGCCAAAGCGGTGATAGGGGCCCCAGGGATGCACGCAGACGTCCAGGGGAGAGGGGGCTCGTTCTAGCATCGTGGGGCCCTCTCTTCCTGCTGCCCGCCCAACGCAGCCCCAAAGGCCAAGTGCTAATATGGTGCTGTTTTCTGCGAAGCCAGGGCTTGGGGCCAGCTGGGGATCCTCGGCACGTCCAGTCCCGCGCTGGCCCTGGGGGAGCACACGGAGTGTAGCCCTGCCAAGAGCACCCGGCACTCGCTTCACCAGGCCCCAGGGCCTGTGTGCCTGTGTCTGTACACGCGCCCCTGCTGTCCTCTCCGCCCCTCCCCATATTGCAGCTGCGGCCCCGGCCCAGGGTGGGTGACAAGGGGAGGAGACTTGGCCGTGCCCCCTCCCTGTGGCGCGATGTCCTGGGACCCCCTCGGAGCCCCCATGTACCCATCCGCCACCACAGGCCCAAGCACTTCGTCATGCGCCAGAGTCAAGGTTCGCCCTGGTCCGCGGGGTCTGCAGAACCGCAGCCGTTGCCCCTCCCGCTCCTCCTTACCCAGTCACCCCACAGGTCCCAGTGGACCCTGGAGGAACAGGATCTGGGAGGGGGCGTGGCTTGGCTGGCACAGCCCTGATTCACATCCCAATCTGGCCTGTCCCGGGGTGTGGGGTTCTTCTCACAACCACCTTCGGTCCTCTGTGTGGTGGCCCTGTGAAGTCAGTGGACACGGGCCCCGGGAGGTGTGGGTGCTGGGCATGGGCAGGGCCCATCTGGATGTGGGGCGGGGAGGGGGTGCGAAGGTTACTGCCTATGTGAGCATTTATGGATAAACGGGAGTGTGTGCGGACTTCCTGGGGGAGTGAAGCAGGGGGTGTGTTTGGTGAGTGGCCTTGTGGCTCAAGGGGTGATGGTGGGGCAGGGAGATGTAGGAACGCTGAAAGGGAGTGCGCCATGTGTGCGCACACCTGTGCACGTGTGTGTGCACACGCCATGTGGGAGAGGAGACAGATCTGAGCAGCTCACACAGGCGCCGCGAGGCCCCGGGCAGTTGTACAGCCGTATTTATTGTGCTCCAGTGAAATGGAAGAAGAAAGTGCTCGCGTTACAAACACCGCTGTCACGTTCACGGACGCCAGCCGCTGCAAACCAAACTGCGCGTGTCCGCTGAGTCCCCTGGGCATGCAGTTTGCTCCCCCTGTGGGAATGGGGTGGGGACAGCCGAGCCTGGGCTCTGGGGGCTTCGCTGGCGGGGGTGGGGGGGCTTCTTGTCCTGGGGGCACCCACCTGTGAGGGAGTTGGGGGGACAGCCGGAATAGCCGTGCTCAGTGCCTCCTTGGGATGCGATTGGGAACACCCGGTCCTTGGCTGGACCCTGCAGTGCTGCAGGAAGGAGGGCCCCCTCCCTCCGCGCAGCCCCCCATCCAGTCTGCTCTCCCCAAACTCTTAAACCTGTAGGCAGGTGCCAGGGGGCTGGAGGACGGGCGCCATGCAGGGGGCGAGGGTGGACTGGGCCAGGCTGGGTCCAGCCAAGAGCAGCAGGCAGCCTCCCACCCCTAGGCCGAGTTGTAGTAATTGTGCAAGTGGTGGTTGTGGGCCGGCTCATCCAGCTCGGGGTACTCGGGTGTCAGGCAGTACTTGGGGTCGTAGACCTGGCGGGGCAGCCCATACACCGTCATGCCCTGCTGCGAGGCTCCCTTGTTGCTGCCCATCTGCAGGCTGACGTTGAGGGTGTCACAGTGCTCCATGCCCAGCCCTGGCTCGAAGATTTGCCGCTTGGTCCCGGGTGCAGTCATGCCAGCCTGGGGAGGGGCAGTAGATTCAGTTGGGTGGGTGGGGGGCACAGGGAGAGGGGAGGCTAATCATCAGGTGCCCCCACAGCCCACTCCACTGCCCCTCGCCCCGCACCTGGCTGGCTCCCTTGTTGGTGCCCATCTGCAGGCTGATAGTGGCTTGATCCAAGGGTTGGTCTGTGCCCAGCTTGGGGTTGTAGAGGTGGCGCCGAGTGCCATAGGCCGTCATGCCCTGCTGGCTGGCAAACTTGTTGGTGCCCATCTGGGGAGCAAGGCGTCGCCATCAGCCACACAATGTAACTGGATGCCCACACAGCCCTCTCCCAAGGAGCCCTGTCTACCTGGGATTACACAGGATATGGGGGTCTTCCCCTCCAGCGGGCATGCAACGGCCCCAAGGGCACACCGCCAAGGAGTGGCTCGGCATACCAGGGCCGACTTCCGGGGTTCAAAGCTCGCCACTTGTCAACTGAGCATCCTGTGCAGGGAGCTAATTTCTCTGGGCCTCCGTTTCCTCACCCGTATAAAGGGCATGGTGGTAACTACCTACCCCTGAATGTGCTCAGCCCAGTGACTGGCCTGTAGCTTAACCCGCTGCTGCCGAGTAGATTCAACACAGAGCAACCCTGGAAGACAGGGGAGCTGCTCGCGGGGCTTTTCAAGGCTGTACATCTCTGGAAGCAGACAGCCTCATCTGTCTCCCTTGGAGCAGCTAGAGGGTTTGAACTGCCCATCTTGCGTTTAGCAGCCCAGTGATTAACTGACATTGCCACCAGGGCTCCTCGGCATAAAGTTCAATTAGTGCTAAATACGCTGTCTCCCAAAGGGTGCCCTCCTGGCACCTGTGCCAGCTGCCTGGCAGCTTAGCAGCCACACTGAGGGGGAGCGGGGATGGTGGGTGGGGTGGGGGGAACAGTACCTGGAGTCCAATAATGTTCCGCCCTTCTCTTAGCTTCTCTGGCTCAAATTTCCGCTCCTGCTTCTCCGCATACTTCACTCCCACGTCCACCTTGTTTCCTTTCGTCTTGGCCTGGGGAGGTGGAAGGCAGGGGCTGGGGAGGGAGCCTCTGGGCCTCATGGTTCCCATGGAGACCCATTGGCATCCCAGCCTGAACAGTTCCCAGGCTGCCTTCTGGGTGTCTCCTTCCCACCCCTACTGGGTGCCCACTCTTGCCTCACACTCACCATGCTGGCCAGGGCCAGGAGGGTGGACTGTACTTGGGTGTGGTTGGTATTCTCAAACAGGTCATTGGCCTCAAAGATGTCATGGGGTTTCACCCCATACTTGGTGATGGCCTTGATGAAGTTGCCGATGTTCTCCAGCTGGTGTGGAGCAGGGGACAATCAGTGGGGACGGGAGGTCTCAAGGGCATATGGGCCAGGGGTTAAGAGAGGTTGAGCGTGGGCTTACCTGGTGCCAATTTTGGGTTGACTCATTGACTTTCTTCACAGAACCAGGCTGGAGCTTATTGATGAATCTACGGAGAGGAGGGTGGAATAGAATGAGAAGGTGACTCTGTTGTCCCTCCACGTCCACCCCATCACAGGAGAGGCCCATAAGAGAGTTGGCAGCAACAGTCATCACGCTGTTCCCGCTCCGTGTACCGCAGCTGCCCACCACCACCAGCTGCTGTCACGTGACTCACGGTGAGCCCACGTGGGTCAGAATAGAACTAGGCTCCGTAGTTTTCGATGGCTGGTTTTTCAGAAGTAGAGTTGCTCAGGCACCCCTGGGGGGCCTTGAACCTCCAACCTTTCATGTTTGCAGCTGAGTGTGATAACTGTTCCAACCATCCAGGGCTCTCTCTCAGCTGCAACCCTACCAAACCACCCAACTCAAGCCATCTGCTCTGAGGTGGAGAACCAGCAGGAGGGAGCTAGACTCCAGTCCTCAGTCAGAGAGCCTCCTCAGGTATAAGGCAGGTTCCCGAGCTCACTGGCAACCGCGTCTCAGTCGGCATTTCTCTTGTGGATTTCCTACAATTGAGAGCCCCAGTCTCCGGCTTTGGGCCTCTTCCCCACCGACACTGGCCCTCTGGATGAGCTCAGCCAGACCCGTGGCCACCCTACTTCAGCCAGGCCCATCGCTCTCACACTTGGCTCCCTACATGAGCATCTCAAACTCAACACACCACACTCACTCTCATTAGAAGTCAGTACAACTCACAGACTTCTAATGTCCACCTTGCCCCAAAACTCGGCCTCTCCTCCCCACCCCACCCATCTTGGTAAAAAATGGCAATGCCATCTTTGCAGGCACTCAGCCAAAACCCACAGAGTTGTCCCCAGCCCACCACCCACACATCCCTTTCTCACCGCCACCTCCAGGCCCCCTGAAAGACCTTTAGCTCCACCTCTAAGATATGCCCAGAGCCCTCTGCCTCTCAGCGCCTCCACCTCTCCTGAACTACCAGTGTCTCTTGGCTGAGCTCTGACCCTTCTTCCTCTAACAGCCCAAATGACCTTTTTAGACCAATTCAAGTTGCTCCAAGTTCAAAGCTCTCTGGTGGCTTCCCCCAGCCTCCAGCACACAACCCTGCCTCTTCGCTGTGACAAAGGTCCCCAGCGTTAACCCTGACTGCGTCTCCCTCCCCTGCCCCTCACTCAGTCACCCCCCTCCCCACTGTGCCCTTAAACTTGCCAGACAACAGCCGCCCCCAGGGCATTTGCACTGGCTGTTCCCTCAGCCTGGAACCTTCTTCCCCCAGACACCCTCACAGCTCCCTCCCTCGCTTCATCCGAGGCCCCAGTCAAATACCACCTCTGCAGTCCGGTTCCAGACCGCCCTACAGAAAATAGCAGACCCCCACCCCCTAACTTGTCTCCACAGCACTTACGTCTACAAGCAAGTGGGTGCATATTGGATTCCTTGTTCTCTGTCCTTGTCTCCCACCAGATGGAACTAAAGTCTCATGAGACTCTGATCGGTTCACTGTGGGAAACGTGACGAGAACTATATTCCCTAACTCATAACAGAGGGGATCTGGAAAGCTGGTATTCCATGGTAGGAAAGCCTCCACTTTGGTCAGTTAGAGAGATAAAGTTCAAGTGCCTTATCCTGTGTTAAATATCATTCCCACAGGTTCTCCCCTCACAGCTATGCTGCCTTAAAGTGAGCACATAGTTGATTTTATCTCCCTATAGAAAAAGACATCCCTTTACTATCTCCTCACAGATGTCCTCACCTGTGAGCTCAGGGACCTTCCTGTAGACTCCACCCACCTTGTGACGTATGTAACTACTGAATATGCATGTCTTATGGCTGCCTATAAATATCCCAAGATAGTAAAGACTCTCTCTTCTCTCTTCCACGTGGACCAAGAGGGGCTGAGGTGAGCATGCTACCATACAATGTGTCTGACTCCTGTATTTTATTCTCTGCCCTATCTTTCCCATCCTCTATGACTTTACCGTGATCGTTATATATTATAACTGGGCAATTGCGCCTACGGACCCTTCAGTGGTTAGAGGCTGGTTTCCTGACAGTTCACAGCCCGGGGCCTCGGCCAGGGCCGGGCACACAGCAGGACCACGTTGAACGCATGCGGTGAAGGAAGGTGGAAACAGCTCAAGCTTGAGCAGCCTCACCTCTCAGCTGGGACCCAAGGGTGGCCCCCTTGCTACCCTGTCTCCCCCTTCCTTATCCCTGACGGGATGAAGGAACACGAGCCCAACACCTGGAACTTAGGTTCTGCTTTCAGAGCGTAGCGCCGGGAGGCACCCCAATCCTCACTGTCAGCCGGCCCGGTCACCCTGGAGGTGCAGTTCCGGCCTGGGCTGAGGGCCCCGCTACTCCCAGCCTTTGCTGGGATGGAACCCTAGCCTGGGAGAGAGGAGATTGGCATCCCCTTGGTGACTAGGTTCTGAGAGGTGTTAGAGCATCGCTGGGGGCCATCCATCCCAGGGGTGGGGGTGGGCGTGGAGGATCGCCATGGACGCTTCTTGCCTTTTCAGAGTGACCTCTCTCATGACCCGGGGGGTCACGGGGAGCCACTGCCCTGTCGAGCACCCAGGTCAGGGCAAGACTCGAGCTGTTTGGGCTGGGACACCAGACAATGTGCTTTACTGAACTGAGCCTGGGTTTCTCCTTCACCCAGGCACCATGAACACGTGCGGCCTCAGCCAACCATTGTTGGGCTGCCAGGTATAAAGTCCCCACCACGGTTCCAGGCTGGCGGCCTCTGAGGGGGCTGAAGAGAGTTGGGGGCCATGAGCGTCCCCGTCCGTCCCACTCACTCGCAAAGGATGATGCCGTCTTTGAGGCCGTCCATGAAGTTGTTGCCGATGCTACGTCCCGTCACCCCCTCGATCCACTCCCGCAGCTCCTGCTCCCGCTGGCGGTCATACTTCTGGGCCAGCTGGGGCAGCGGGGGATGGGGGGTGGGGGGAGCAGGGAGGGCACATAGAGACGTTGGTGAGTACGCAGTTTCGGAGTGGGCTTGACTCCTCCTCGTCCCTTCCCAACTAAGGCAATTCTCTGCCCCTTGTTGGGGGGGGGGGAGGAATGAGGGGGGCTGGAGGGGGCCCAGGGCCAGGAGTGAAGTGGCACCTGCCCAGGGGGTCATTCCAGGCATTCTGAGGTTTGGCATGGGAGAATGTAGGCAAGAGGGGGGTGCCTGGGCCTCCTGGTTCCCCCTCCAGGCCAAACTTGGGGCTTCATCGTCCTGGCCCTGCCCCCTGGGCTGGCAGGAGACAGGAGGCCTGAGGAGGGAAGGAAGCCTAAACTCTAGGCTCTGTCCAACGTCTCTTGGTGTCACCCCCCAACCTCATCTCCCAAGGCTGGGCTGGGGCGGGGTGGGCAGGCTCTCTGAGTCTGCCCTCAGACCCCTCTCGCTTCGGCCTCTCTCTCCCCTCAGCTGTCTGACTTCTTGCCCCTGCCTGGGTGTCCCCCTCCCTCTGGCTCTGCTCGGGATCAGACTTGCCCTTCTTCCCTCTCAGTCCCTGCTCACTGCAGGGTCCCAGCCTCTGGTGGGGGTGGGGCCCTCCTTCCGGCCGGCCGGCCACGCCATCCCAGTCTCAGCCTTTATCTTGCTCCAGTCTCGCCCTCCCACCAGGCGTCTGTTTCTCGCCTGGCTCAGTTTCCCAGTTTTCTCTCTCTGTCCTGGCTTTATGTCCCCCAACCCCAGTCTAGATAAACTCCCAGGCCCTGGGCGGGGGACTGGGTTGCCCCCTTTCCTGGGTCAGACAGTTAGGGGCTTGGGAGGCGGCAGCCCCCTCACCTGGCCCTGGCGCCCCCCTTCCCTACCAGCCAGGCTTTATAAAGCTAACCAGCCCTTATATAGCGGCGCCTGGCGGGCCGGGCTCCCTGAGGCCACCTTATATGGCGTGGCAGCTCAGAGCGGCGCTGGGGATGGGGGTGGGAGGGGTGCGCTGGGATGTGTCTCCGGCTGAGCATCCGCCCCCCCTGCCCCCAGCCCCCAAGACCCCCCACGACCCAGCTTCCAACCGGGGCTCTGGTCTCCCCTTGCTCACTGTGGAACCCTGGGAAAAGTCACCCTCCTGAGCATGGGTCGTCTGTCTGTCCCTCCAGTGCAGCTGCGACTCCTCCCCTGGCCTGGCCCCAGATCCTGGGAGGTTCGGTTCCCTCCCCTGGAAAGGCTGACCCCGTGCTGACCCCAAGTCCCCAGGTCAGAGCTCTACACCTGCCTTGGTTGGGCGGGCAAGGGACCCTGGTTTCATGCCTCTCCCTTCTGAGCCTGTTTCCCCATCCTTAGGAGGTCCCTGCCAGGCCTGTGATGCCCACCCACCCGCCCGAGACGTCCCTCCCCCCTGATGACCTCCCTCACTCTGTGGGCTTCTCACCCCAGGGACCTGCCTTCACCAACCCTCCCTCCAGTTTCTTTGTCTGGCTGAGAATGTACTAGGCACAATCTACAAGTGGGTACCACGTCCAGTCCGGGAACATAGAGCGTTCCCGGAACTCTGAGCAGGTGGGGTATCTAATGTTGGGGATCTGCCTTCTCTATTCAGCCCCCCACCCCACAGTAGCAAGAGGGCTAGCAAGGGTCCCGAGAGGGAAAGAGGCAGCCCCCACCCTGTGTCTGTCCCCTGACCCTCTCACTCCAGTCACATGGAGTAGTCAGGAGGGGGTTCAGGGGGCGTCCATCCAGTCCTACCTTGTTCTTGACCTCGGCTGACAGCCCGTAGGCGGGGCCTCGGTTGAAGTGAGCAGAGGACATGCTGGCCGCTGGGCTCTGACGGGGGCGCTGGTGGCAAGGCCTGGCAGCAGCTGGAACTCCTTCTGCACCCTCTTCCCTCCTCACACGTTTTTGAAGCTCAGGAGGCGGCCCGGGAGTCTTCCAGAGCCGTCCCATTGGCCGCAGGGGCCTGCCAAGGGGAGGGGCACCCCCACCTCAGCCACCCCCCCCTCGTGATGTCAGGGCCTTGGTATTGGGAGCTGATTATGTCATTGTTTCCACCTGGGGGGGGCGGCCTGAGTTATTCTTAGGGGGGGGGGGCTTGGCCAGACAGAGCCCCATCCTACTCCAGGCCACGTCCCCCACCCCCTTTGGTCCATTGGGCCCTGCCTGGGTCGTTTGCATCTTTCTCTGTTGCTGAAGCCATCCTTCTATGACTCTGGGCTGTCCCTCACCCCTTTGACGCAGGACAGTCCCTGTGGCAGCGTAGCGAGCCCCGTCCTGGGTTTAACTCTAGGCATCAATAGTCTGTAACCTTAGGTAAGTCCCGCCCCTTTCAGGGACCTCTGTTTCCCCATCTATAAAATGGGCGATGATAGCGCCCGCCTCATAGGGGGCATTGTGAAGACCAGAAGTACTTCCTCAGCAGGCACCCGCAGGGGTCGGACACTGCATCCATCACCTCCAGACCCTCATAAGGTCCTAGGGTAAGGTGACCAGACATCCCGATTTTTAACAATTTTTCCCGCGTCCCACAGCATTTTTAAAAAGTCCCGATTTTTGGAAAGAATGCCCGACAAGCTAGGGTATACGGTTTTCGGCTGCCATGTGGCTATTTCGCCAGGATATGAGTTTTATCAATGGTGTCCCGCTTTACCAATGTTAAAAGCTGGTCACCTTATCCCAGGGGAGCAGAACTCTGGGCCCCCTACTCATGAGCTACATGGTGGCTGTGCTAGGGAGCCCCCGGGGCCATGGACACCTCCGAAGTCACTGCCCCAGTCTGGAAGGGACACTGGCAAGCACTCTGCCTGGCCAGATGTGGACCACAGAGTGGAGGAGATGCCCACACCAGGCCACCTGGATCATGCTGGGAACTTGGATGACACTGATGTGCAAGACACTAATGATGTGTCAGGGACATGCTGGTCTACTGGCCCTGAGCTACGGGCTCTGCTGTCATACAGTAATATGACAGGAGCCCCTAGGGCAGCAGTTCTCAACCTCCCTAATGCCGCAGACCTTTCATACAGTTCCTCATGTTGTGGTGACCTCCCAACCATAAAATTATTTTTGTTTGCTACTTCATCACTGTCATTTTGCTACTGTGATGAATCGAATTACCCCTGTGAAAGGGTCGTTTGACACCCCCCCGCCCCAAAGGGGTCTCGACCTACAGGTTGAGAACCACTGCCCTAGGTTGTCAGGGTTACACGTGTATCAACCCAAGCCTCATAATACCTTCAGAGTGGATGAGGCTACTGCACATGCCTTACAGATGGGGAAACTGAGGTCTTTACCGGTGGAATCCTCGGCACGCTGACACACTCAAAACACAAACCAAACACTGCCATCGACTCAATTTCGACCCATAGTCACCTTATGTGGGGTTTCTGAGGATGTAAATCTTTACGGGAGCACGCAGCCTCATCCCTCATCCATGGATCAACTAGTGGGTTTGAACCACCAATCTTGTACTTGGCCATTCCAGTACTTACTGGACAGCGCCACCAGGACTATCTAATCCTCTGCTGTGGGGTCCTTCCCAAGAATGATTTTCCCTAACCTCTATCCACTACCAGTGTTTCCCAAAGTAGGAAATGCCACCTACCTGGGAAGATGCTGGAATGATCCCGGGAGTCTGCCAAAGTAGATATCTACTCTTTGTCCTGGATAAGGGGCTACAGCAGGAAGTTTTTAATTGCAGGCATTGAATTTTTTTTTTCCTCCCTGAAAAGGGGGCGGTAAACCAAACAAGTCTGAGAACCTATACAGATGGATATGGTACCATCCAGGTCGTGACAAACCAGTCTCCTGAACGGGAGTCTGTCCTCTCTGTTTGAGAACCATTCAACTGGTGTTCCTGGGTGGTGCAAAGGGCTAAGTGGCGACTACCCAGAGAGTGGGTGGTTGAGTCTACCTGGCAATGCTGCAGAAGAAAGGCCTGGCAACCACTTCTGAAAGATTAGTCCTTGGAAACACACAGTTCTACTATGACTCACATGGCATCAGCCCGAGTCAGAATCTACTGGGTGGCAACTGTGGGTTGATTGGTTGGTTGGGTGGTTGGTTTTGCAGAGGTAGTGCTAAGGTTATGTGCTAAGGACAAGTTGATGGCATTTAATGATGTTGAAGACACTAAAAAGACATCAGATGAGCTGACCAGCACCTACTGGCATCAAGCTGATGCCCACAAGGACAGAGTAAGCCTGCCCCTTAGAGTGCCTGAGATCCTACGTCTTTCTCCAGCAGAGCCACTGGTGGGTTGGAACTACCCACCTTAGGGTTTGCATCCCAGCGCTTAACATACTGCACTACTAGGGCTCTTGAACGAATCCATAAAAACCTAAAACCAAACGCACAGTTCCAACTCTCGGCTCCCCTACAGAGGGGAATAGAACTGCCCCCGCAGGCTTCCTAAGGAGCAGCTCAGGGTTTCAAAGTGGGTAACCCAGGAATTCACTGCTGTGACTCCGACTCACTTGGGTGCATGGGGAGTAGAAAGTCTCATCTTTCTCCCGAGAAGCAGGAGCGGCTGATAGCCTTGAACTGCGGACCTTGTGGTTAGCAGCCCAACGCAAAACCACTACACCACCAGAGCCAACGGGTTCTGAACTCCAAACTCCCTGCCATCCCGGCCATGGGTAAAGGCCCTCTTCTAAGAGGTTCCCATCCAAGAACCTTACCTATCCTCACAGTGGCTCTCTGAGGTGGGAATCTGGGATCACACTCCCTAGACAGATGGGGAAAGTGAGGCACAGAGGGGTACAGCTCCGGGGACCCGCCGAGGAGATGCGGCCTACTGGAATCGAACTCGGACCCTTCTGGCTTCCGCCCACGCTAGGCGACGCTCCCAGGGCCACAGTTCGCGACTGCGCATGCGAGGAGCTGCGCCGCGGCCCAGCTTGAGGCTGGCGCCCCCTGGCGGTCCCAGAAGGGGACGGGAGCCGGTTCGGGGCGGCGGTGACGTCAGGCGCTGACTCAGTGGGCCCCGCCCCCCTCGCCGCGGCTGCGTGGCCATTTATAGAATCCGCGCGGGCTCTGAAGTCACGGCCCAAGCACGACGGGGGCGGGGGGCGGGGCTGGGGGGAGCTCCTGGCGTGCCCCTCCGCGGGGCGCCCTGGGGTCTCCCGAGGAGGCGGCCCTTTATGGGTCCGGCTGGTCCTCGCTGGATCTGCCTCTGGCGCTTGCAGTCCCTCTGAGTCACCCGCTGCTTTCCAGCCTGACCTTCCGGGAATCTGCCTGTCTCTCTCTGTCTCTCCGCTATCTCTGGGTCTCCGCTTCTCGTCTCTGAATCGCTGTTTGTCTTGCCCCTGGCTTGTGTCTGTGTGCATCTTGTAGATGACGTTGGGGGTGCGCTTTCAGGACCACCTCATCCCATCCTGAAGCCCTAATCCTAAGGGACTCCCCCAGCACTGACTTCGTATTAGGGTCCCTTAACTCACTCACTGCCACCCCATCGGCTCATAACCACCCTAGGGGCCAAGGCAGACCTGCCCCTGTGGGCTTCCGAGACGATAGCTCTTTCTAGGAGTAGAAAGCCCCATCTTTCTCCCGCATACGGTCCCCTATTCAGCTCCTAAATCTGCCGGTTCCAGGGCCCAGCCCTTGTGTTTCTCATGCCCCAGCTAAGTGAAACGTTGTCAGAAGCAGGGCTCACAAGAGGCTGCAGGGTGGTGGTGGGCAAGCCCTGCCTCTGGGCACCAGGCACTCCTAAAACCTTCCTGACTCCGAGCTGCCGGAGGCACACACGCTCTGTCCCTGGGTGCCTCAGAGAGAGAGTCAGAGCCTCCCTCCTGGACCTGCTCTGCCAGCCCTGAACTATCCTTCCGGCGATGGGGGAGAGCTCACAATGGCTTCCCTTTGCAGAGCCAGGCAGCGTGCCCAGCAGCGCAGTGGCCTGTAATCTCCCGCTGCCATCTCAGAGAGGAAACAATTGAGCCATTTTGATAGATAAGGGGCCTATGGTTTAGAGCAGGCACCCTGGCGGTATGGTGGTTCAGCACCCCAGAAACTGCTCACCAGAAAGTTGAGGATTTGAACCCACTTTCTCCCAGGAGAAAGATGAGGCAGCCTGCTTCCGTCAAGGTGAATCTAGGGAGCAGTTACACTCTGTCCTACAGGTCACTAGGACTTGGGATTTACTCCAGGGCAGCGAGTTAAGGTTCAAAAAGGCTAAGCCACTCTCCCAATGCCTGCCACCCTGCTGCCACCACTCCTTCCCGGGGTCTCAAACGTGCTCCCTTCTCAGCCCTATCTCCTGGAACACGTTTCCCCAAAAGACTGCTCCGCGGCCTCGCCCCCGTTTCATTTCAATCTCTACTGAACTGCCCCTGCCCACCAGCTCTCATCGTTCCCACCCCTAGAGAGCCCGTGAAACGGTGATGCCCGGGACCGGTGGTCTTAAACGTTAGAATTTGGTTTTGAAAAGTAATTTTGCGACGGGTTGTTGCTGTTAGGTGGCGTCCAGTCGGTTCCAACCTATGTGTCAACACTTCCAGGTCCTGCACCATCCTCACCACTGTTGTCCAGTGTGAGCCCATGCTGCAGCCACTCTGTCCACCCAATTTACGGAGGTGCTTCCTCTCTTTTGTTGCCCTTCTACTTTACCAAGCCTGATGTCCTTTTCCAGAGATTGATCTTCCTGATAACATGCCTGTGGTAGGTACATAATCTGGTGTGAATTTAAGACTTAAGAGTAAAGGGAGCCACCAAGGAGATCAGTAGCTCACTCACTGGAGGCGGGACACACTCTCACTCCCTTCGAGACATTTCTGAGACAAGCCACATGGAGCTGAGCTGATACAGCCAGAGCCCTGGGAGCTGTAGAAGCCACGTGGAGACACCTGCCAGCACTGAGATGCTTCAACTGCCACTGGATCCACAAGACTTTCCACCCACTGACTTGTGATCTTCCTGCATTCGGCATTGCATGGCTGCATGCGTCAAAAGAGGAATGTATGGACTAGTATTGGACATATGGGCTAATATTGGACTTCTGGACTTGATCTGGACTGGGCTGGGCAGCTTTCATAATGTACAATCACTCTTTATAGAAAGCTCTTCCCTATACACATGTGAGTGTCTGTGAATTTGTTTCTCTAGTCTACCCAGACGAACCCAATGTTCAAGCACGTGAGATGAGGTCTCACCAGCCTTCCATCTGAGGAGCGTTCGGACTGTACTTTTTTCTTTTTCTTTAACAAATTCTTTCTTTTAATCGCAGCATGACTTTCCATTGATACTTTTTCTTTAAATGTTAACAGCTTCATGGACGTGTAATTCACATACCATACAATGTAACGGGTTAAGGATATCAAAACAGGTTGTGTAAGCATCGCGTCTGACATGGTCTGTGTGTTCTGGCAGTCCCCAGGATGGGGAAGCACACATGAGGCTGCCTGACAAGAGGCTGAAGCTACAGGGAATTCCTTTTACAACCGAGTGGGGCTAGCGTTCAGACAGGAAAGCTGTAGGAGACAGGCTTCTCTCTCTCTCTCTCTTTTTTGTGTGTGACATGTTTCCTGCCTGGTTTGTCTCCTCAGTCATTGTCCAAGGGACTCTGAGAAGCTGTGAGAATATGCAGGCACAGGTTCAAGGCCCGGCTTGATCTCTGACGTTGTAGAAAAGGACTGTCCGTCAAGGGGCACTGAGCCCTGTGCTCCTCGATGCCACCTGGACAGAGCCCAGGGAGAGTGGCCTCCCGGGAGTGTCCACGTTGGAAGACAGGCTTCTCTTTAATGAAACTTTTTCTTCTTCTTTTTTTTAATGAAACTTCTAAGTTATTCTCCCAGAAACGCCTCAGAGATTGAGATCCAGTGTCATTCCTCGTGGAAACAGAGCACCCTCAACTTCCAGAAAACCCATATTGTCTCCCTTAGCCTACAACTCCCAGAATCCTTCACGCCCAATGGGAACCTTTAAAAATGATGAACTTGTGTTTCAGGGAGCTATCTTCCTGATCAGAATAGCTTTCAGATCATTAGGTTCCCTCTGGAGCCCCTAATAAAACTCTCCTGACTTGCCTCTATATCTGACTAGAGTAATTCTTTCTCTTGATCAAAAACAATAACCTGTTTCCAGTAGCAAATTTTCCTCATAAAAAACAATATCATCCTTGAGTGTTGTGCTCCTTTAAAAAAAAATCTTTGAGACCAAAGCAGTCGGCATTTATTCAAAGCAAAGATGGGGGTGGGATGGAGTGGGGGGAATTGAGGGGGTGCAGAGGATCTGACACAGAAAAAAAATCCAATATTTAATGTTGAAAAAGTGATTTTTAAAGAAATTACTCCATGTCTCCTTATCACCTTTCCCTGCTTTCTTTTTCTTCTCACTATCAACTGACTTAGAGCTTGTCTTTCTCGTCCCCCATGAGACCAGAAGTCCCATGGGGGCAGGGGCTTTGCCTGTTTCATCCACAGAGCCCAGCACAGTGCCTGCCCACAGCAGACAGGCCAAAAAAAAAAAAGGCATTAAAGTGGGTGAGGCAGGTCACGAACCCACATCTCTCTGAGTTGTTGATGCTCAGCTATACACAAAGGCAGGACAGTAGTTCCCAGCACTTTGGACGGAGGATAAGGAATTAGGGAGTGCCCTTTACAATTCTATCCCTCCCTTCTATGAGAGAGCAGTTGGGGAGTAAATGAAGGAGTGCTATCTCAACCGGGTTCCAAAAACTTAAAAACTCACTGAGTCAATGCTACCCAGAGCCCCTATAGGGCAGGGTAGAACTGTGGTCTTCCAAACCCCTGTGGGTTTCCAAGATTCTCTCTTTATGGGATGGAGCTCTCTAGAGGAGCGGCTGGTGGTTACCAACGGCTGACCCTGCCAGGAGCAGCCCGACACGTACCCACTCCAATACCAGTCAGCCCCCAACTCATGGTGTCCGGCCCTGCTGCATCCCTAGGACGAGCTGTGAATTGGAAAACTGACTCATAGGGTTTTCCCTGGCTTCCTTTTGGAATTAGACTCCCGGGCCTTTCTTCCTAGTCGATCTCAGTCTTGAAGCTCTGCAGAAATCTCTTCCGCAATGTAACAACACACAAGCAACTACTGACAGACGGGTGGTGGCTGTGCATGAGTTGCACTGACCGGGAATCAAACCCAGGTCTCCAGCATAAAGTGGAAAGTCACCACTGAACTACCACTGTGTTGCTCCCAGCACCCCAACCCCAGCCCCAAACACACACACACAGAGGCTGACAGGGGAGCTAGTCTAGATAGTCTGGGTCATTCTACAGCTGCCCATTGCCCTGCTTGATCTTTGCAAGAAGACATTTTGGAAGAAATGCAATGGGCTGAACAGAAGAGTTTTTTGTTTCTGTTTTTAAGTGAATGGGTGACCATCACCTTGTCAAATCAGAAAGCTTCACAACACACAAACACGTTGTAAGGGAGGCTCTGGGAGCCGTGTTAGTGGATGTGGCCATGTGTTAATCACTTTCAAAATTACAATGTCCTTTCCTTTCACCAGAAGCCCTAGTGGCATTGTAGTTACATGTTGGGCAGCAATCCGCAAGCTCGACGGTTCAAAACTCCAAGCCCTTAAGAGGGAGAAAGATGGGATTTTCTACTCCTGCAAAGATGTATCACCTCGGAAACCCACAGGGGCAGTTCTAACCTATCCGATAGGGTCACCATGAGTCAGCATCATGAGTTGAGCTGAGTTGAATTCTGTTTAATAGGAGCCCTGGTGGTGTAGTGGTTATGTGTTGGACTGCTAACTGAAAGGTCAGCAGTTCGAAACCACCAGCCTCTCCTTTCCTTGGGAGAAAGACACAGCTCTCTACTCCCATAAAAAAATTACAGTCTTTAAAAAAAAAGAATTGCAGTCCTGTTGCTTAGGAAGCATTGAGCTTATATTATTGGTGGTGGAATAATTTGGGAAAGGATATCAATAAAGACACAACACAAAGAATATAATCAATGGCGCTGAATTTGTATATGTAGAAGCTATTGAATTGGAGAATGTTGGATGTGTATATTTTCGACATCATTTGAAAAACGATTACATGAACAATGAGTACAAGGAAGAAGACAGCATTCTGGAATTGAACGTGGTAGTCGTACAACTTTTCTTGATACGATTGAATGATCACATTGTATGACATGGATGAAGTGCTAATAAAACTGCTCGAAAAAGAGAAAGAGTTGCAGTCTTGGAAACTCACAAGGGCAGTTCTACAGTTCTACCCTAGCCTGTAGGGTCACTGTGAGTGGCATCAACTTGATGGCAGCGAGGTGAGGTTCCTTTGAAAAAATAAATCCTGGGGGGAGTGGGGAGGGAGGGGGGAAAATGAGGAGCTGATGCCAAGGGCTTAAGGGGAGAGCAAATGTTTTGAGAATGATGATGGCAACGAATGTACAAATGTGCTTGACACAAATGGATGGATGGATGGATGGATCGTGATAAGAGTTGTACGAGCCCCCAATGAAATGATTTTTAAAAGAAGAAAAAGTACATCCTCTTTTTGCAATATCCCCAGGCAGTTCAATGGTAGGTGTGAAGAAGGAACGTGTGAAAGAACATCAGTTGTCTGTGGGAAACAGGATGAGGACTGTATTACCTAACTTAGAACAGGGGGAATCTGGAAAGCTAGCATTCCACAGTAGGAAAGTCTCCACTTTGGTCCGTTAGAGAGAAAGTCCAGGTACATGATCCTGCTTTAAACAGCATTCCCACACATTCTCCCCTAACAGCTAGGCTGCCTTAAAGCGAGCACATGGTTGACTTTTACGTCCCTATGGAAGCAGACGTCCTATTGCTCTCTCTTCCCGCCATGTCACCCAATCCCTTTTAGACCTTCCCCCAATGCAGATATTAGGTTTCCTCACCTGTGAGCTCAGGGACTTTCAGGTAGAGACCACCCACCTCGTGAAGCATGTAACTACTGAATATGCTTGTCTTACGGCTACCTATAAATGTCCCAAGATAGCAAAGGTTTGCTCTCTCTTCTCCCACTTCTACATGGACCATCAAGAGGGGCTGAGGTGAGCGTGCTACCATAAGTGTGTCTGACTCCTTTATCTTACTCTCTCTCCTATCTTTCCCATCCTCTATAACTTTACTATCCTTTTTACATATCATCACCGTACAATCGCGCCTACTGGTCCTTCAGTGGGTGGAGACTGGTTTCCTCTGACAGTTGTCGTGACCTTGAAATCACAATTCACCCAGTCGACCCTCAAACAGGGGGGCAGGGAGACCCAAAAATGAGTATGCGGCATGCTGTTTCCATGAAAAGCACTGGTACTGTGGTAGAAGCAGAGCAGGATTACATAGGTTTGGGATGTGCCCTGGTGGTGATCCTTGGCTGCGTGACTTTAGATTTTACACTTCTCTGTCTCCAGAGATGACGCTTTCTACTCCCGTAAAGATTGAGCTTTAGAGACCCACAGGGGCAGTTCTACACTGTCCAATAAGGTCACTATGACCCGGAACCGACTCTATGGCAGCGAGGTCATTCTGAAAGCCATTGCTGTTGAGTTGATTCAGACGCAGTGACCCTCCAGGCTGGAGGATTGCCCTGGAAGCTTTAAAGAAGCGATGTCTCATCTTTCTCACTCAGGGTGGTGTGGTGGGCTCCAACCTCTGACCGTTTGGTTACCAGTGCAGCTTAACTACTGAGAAACGAGGAATCCTCGACATAAATGTATTTAATTTTGAGATAATCTGACACTCAGAAAAGTTGCAAAAACAACAAGAGTCCCCTGTGCCTTTTGGTCGGCTGCCATTTTCATCACTGCCAGCAAGCAGACTCGGACCCACAGCAACCCTGCGTAGGATTTCCAGAACTTACATCTTGACCGCAGCAAGCAGCCCTAGCGTTCTTCCTCAGATCTGACCGGGAGCAGCCCAAGGCCTAGCGCCACCAGCGCTTCCTAACATTTTACATAACCGTGTACAGTTACCAAGGATCCTTAGCTGTTGGGTGGCTAAGGCGGGCTGTGCACCCAAAGGTCAGAGTTAGAACCAAGCAGCAGCACGGCCCCAGGCGGCAAGATGAAGCAGGCTGCTGCCTTGAAGACCCCCAGCTTGGAAACCCTACGGGGCAGTTCTCCTCTGTCCTCCAGGGGTCACTGCACTAGAATCAACTCTGTCCAATGGTTTCTAACACAATTATCCCCACTACGAAATTAACCTAAATTCACTCACTGCCCTCGGGTCGACTCCGGCTCATCACGACCCCATAGGACAGGGTAAACCCGCCCCTATGGGTTTATAAGACTGCGGCTCTTTATGGGAGTAGAGCCCCCTATGACTCCCATCGAGCAGCTGGTGGTTTCAAACTCCAGGGTGCAACGCGCAACACCATTGTGTCAGTCTGGGTACTTTAGAGAGACAAATCCACAGAAACTCATGTATAAGAGAGAGTTTTATACAAAGGGTAAGTGCACATCAAGAAAACATCCCAACCCAGTGCTGCCCAAGCCCACAAGTCCAACATTAACCCATACGACACCAATCCACAA